TAGTATTATGACTAATAAGCCCGGGGTGCCCACCTATCCTATCGCACTCACCCCCCTCCCTTAACATTTACGAGCTTAGCCTCGAAAAAATCGAGGTAGGACTTAACTAAAATGGGGCGTAGGGGGTAATATTAAGAGCGCTATTAGGTCAAACTTAACGAGATCACCATATTCCTAGTTACCTTGAAAATATTGACGCCAGGCTTAACCTAGGTTAGGGGTACAGGTTAAAATATTTAGATATGATTAAAAGAGGGTTCCCAGGGGTGGCAGCGGTAGTGAAGAGCGCAGGGAAAGAAAAAAATAATTAGGGCCTAAATATAATGAGGCTTAGCTGCGAGATTAACCTTAACTATTAACAGCTATAAAGAGCGATAAGCCACTCTAATTTCATAGCTCCTTATTCGATTTTCACGAGACTTCTAGGGGGGGGTAGGGGGTACCAAAATAAACACCTTTAGCTGAAAAGGTTAACTTAGAAAGTCTCTCTCTAGCGTTTAGCATTAAGTTAAATCGCTTATCTTAATAAGGACGATCTATGTTCTATTTATCCTGTTATAGTCAAGATAAAAAGGATAATAGTGGCGGTATTAACCGCGTCATAACATTCAGAGAAAGGCCCTATATAATTCTATTAAGTTTCGAGTGAATTAAGTGTCCAGTCATTTATTTTAAGTAGGACCCTTATTAGGTTACCTAGGTAACTCAGGTTTTTAGGGTTAGTGATATAGTAAGAAGAGAGGAGGCCAAAGAAAGAAAAAAAAAGTGGGCTATCTACCGTCACTGATCTTAAGAGGCCGCCGGCCAGAAAAACCGGGCGAAGGCCTGGTGGGTTCCGCGCGGAAATCGAGGAAGATAGACCGACGGAACCTACCGCCCCCGGATCCTCGCCCCCCACCGGTGGGTTCTGTCGCGCCGGCGGGTAGGGTATTAGTTAAGGGCAATAGTAAAGGGATGGTCCAGTGTTCAGCATAAGTTTTCGCATGTGAGCTCGCACGAAGCTAGATACTCACGTATCCAGCGGTGCTCTTTGAGGTTTGTGGGTCTTTCTCGATCTAACCAAAGATTCTGTCTGTAAACGAGTAGCCATCCACTTTTATTTCACCAATCAAGTGGTAAGTAGAATCTTGAGCATGTAAAAGTATCTAGTCTCTAATGTGGTCAGGGAAGTTTCGGCGTTTCGAGGCAGAGAAGTCGAACGAAGTGGCCTAATAACATGCCACCATGGTTAGCTTGCAAGGACAGATGGGCTGTCACACTGTACTGAAAAAGATGAGAAGATGACAGATATACTTCATAGCTTCTTCAGGTTAGGAAGTCCCGTGGATTCATTCCTATAAGCCCAAGATAGCTTGACTGCTCGCACGAAGACTGACCAGAAAACGCGCGTACAGTATCCCTTCCCTGTTGTCAGCTTAGATGTGTACACAAGCGTCATAAGGATACGACACTGCCGTAACTATTTTGACTTATTCAAAGACCAATTCCGACTCCGATGCATGATTAACTTCCACGAGCTCCCTGTGTGACATCTAACAGGCTCATCTCCTGCACCACTGCAGGATGTTCCCAGACCGTACACGTCAGAACTGGCATTCTGTGTTCTTGAGCACTATTCCAGCGTAGAACTACTGCGCATATGATTCTAATAAACCCATATTTTAGAATTTCGTACGAGCTCGTGCGAGCGATCACTGTGCGCTAAAGGGAAGTTTCCCAGCAGTCGATCCATGACTAAACAGTTGCTGATGGTGGAGTATGCCCTATTAGCGTCGCCCTCGAACGGTATCCTTGGGATCCATCGCCTTGCCAGTTGAAGACATCTTCGTGCCCATGCTAGTTCGGGCGAGATCAAGCATGCAGTAAGCAGCAGCGGCCTGCCTTAGGTTGGAGGCAAAAGGTATAAAAACGCAGTCAATCAACTCTTGTGCAACAGATCTGCTCACTTTAAACACCTAAACTTTTCTACTCCGTAGTACTCTTCACCGGTATAAGCATCTAATACCTCAACAATGGCTAGTGACGGCGCTCATTTTGACTTCATCGTTGTCGGCGGCGGCACGGCTGGCAATACTGTCGCCGGTCGACTGGCTGATAACCCAAACGCCACCATTCTCGTCGTCGAGGCAGGTGTGGGCAACTCCCATGAGATTGAGGAGATTACTACTCCTTCAATGGCCATGGATCTTCGAAGCAGCAAGTATGATTGGGCCTACAAAACCACTATGATCAAGCGGGACGACTATGAACGAGTTGAGAAACCAAACACCCGAGGAAAGGCTCTGGGTGGTAGTTCTTCCCTCAACTACTTCAGCTGGATCCCGGGCTGTAAGCCTACGTTTGATATGTGGGCAGAATATGGAGGCAAAGAATGGACTTGGGATCCTCTTGTCCCGTATCTCCGCAAGAGCGCCAGCTATCATGACGACGAAAAGCTCTACTCGCCCGAGCTTCACAAAATTGGCGCCGGGGGTCCCATCCCGATCGCTCACTCTGAACTCATTCCGGAAATGGTTCCCTTTCGCAAGGCCCTCACCAAGGCTTGGACGTCCCGTGGAGAGCCAATTTCGGAGAACATTTACGACGGCGAGATGAACGGCTTGATTCACAGTGTCAATACAATCTACAAAGGTCAGCGCTCTGGTAGCTTTTTGTGTGTTCAGGGCAAGCGGAACATCACAATTCTTCCCGAAGTGCACTCGAAGCGCCTGATTATTGACGCTGCAGACCGCTCATGCAAGGGTGTTACGGTTATCGACCCCTCCGGCAAAGAGCTGAACTTTTATGCCACTCGTGAGGTCATCGTCGCCCAAGGAGTGTTTGAAAGTCCAAAGCTGTTAATGCTTAGCGGCATCGGCCCTGCATCCGAACTGGCTCGACATAAAATTGATGTTATCGTCGACTCCCGCCATGTCGGCCAGCATCTGCTCGATCATCCAGGTGTGCCTTTCGTCCTGCGCGTCAAGGATGGCTACGGCATGGACAGCTACCTCATGCGCAAGGGCCCTAAAAATGACGCTGTCGTGGCGAACTACAAGAAAAACCATACAGGTCCTGTGGGATCAGGCCTACTCGAGATGATTGGCTTTCCTCGAATCGATAAGTACCTTGAGAAGGATGCCACTTACCGCAAGGCGAAGGCCGCCAACGGGGGCAAAGACCCTTTCTCTCCCGGCGGACAGCCTCATTTTGAGCTCGATTTCGTCTGCATGTTTGGCAGCGCTTTCCAATGGCACTACCCTGCTCCAAAGTCTGGCGACCACATTACCGTCATGGTCGACCTTGTCCGTCCCGTGTCCGAAGGTGGCGAGGTAACCTTGAACAGTGCCGACCCCCTAGAACAACCTAATATCAACTTGAACTTCTTCGCCGACGACCTGGACATTATCGCGATGCGCGAGGGCGTGCGTTTCACTTACGACGTCCTTAAACATGGCGATGGTTTCAAAGACGTCGTCGTCGACGAGTATCCTTGGGACATGCCGCTCGAATCTGACGAGGAGATGAAGAGGGCCGTCCTGGATCGCTCTCAGACTTCCTTCCATCCTTGCGGAACTAACAGGTTGTCCAAGAGCATTGACCAAGGTGTGGTTGACCCCAAACTCCGAGTCCACGGGATCAAGAATCTCCGAGTGATTGATGCTTCGATTATTCCTGTGATCCCTGATTGCCGAATTCAGAACTCAGTCTACATGATCGGAGAGAAAGGTGCAGATTTGATCAAGGCTGATCATAAGGACCTTTATTAATGGATGTGACGACCTTATGGGGCGGGTTAGCCTTGAATAGCTGCTTTCGCTAAAAACGTATCAAGGCAGACGCATGTTTGAGAGTGTAGTTTGCCACGCTGTTGCGGAGAGTAAATTGTCAGCACACCTTATCGCCTTGTGGGTCAAGCCACGAGACTTTCCGATCAAGGCACTAAGTACGTAGTAACAAGTTTGCTCCAATTTGAATCTCTGAGTATCTCGAAGTACATCGCAGCCTGTAAAGACCAGATATAGTGGTTAGGCAGCCGCACCCGACGAAGTTAGCAGACAACCTTTGCTTGTCGCAAACTATTGCTAGATGAGATTCCTAACGGGTCACAAACCGAAGCGACTACGGACAGGCAGGGTAGCATCACAGCTGGGTCTCACAAATCACACGGTCTTTAAACTCATGATCAATGAGAGCGCGAGCAGTGGCAGTGAGTGAACTTGACAAGATACCTCGTCGATGGGTATCAATTCGCTTGTTCACCCTCGGTGTGCACTCTCAATACTCTCAATAGCTTAGTCTTTCTTCTGATCTTTCACCCTCTATGACCGTTACAACCACCGTCACATGCTCTGCTATGGGTTCGACCAATTCCTCCAGCCAGCCCTCTGTTGTCCACGTCAAAGCTTCGATGGAAAAGGGGACGACACGGATAGTCTCAACAGGCGGCCAACACACTAGGAGAAAACTTGGTAGAAAAGGGGGCATGGAGTCGTTTCACTATGCAGTCTGCGTGGGAGTAGACACTCTAATCACCTGCTCACCGTCCACGAAGGAGGGATCCCGGTACCGTAGCTTCGAATACAGAGGCAACGCCTTCTTTAAAATCTGAGGATGCGGGACTTCCGCCTGATGGACTATAGGACCATGACTTCACTTACAGGCAGAGATTTTGTTACTACGGACGGAATAGCCCGCGTCTGCTGGGAACTCCGGACCGATAGATGCGCTTGACTGACTGGCGCACTTGGCTCCATGTCAAATGGTCACGGTGATCCGCATGTGCGAGGTGGCTGGTCTTGCAAGTCGAAGCGGTGATGTACAATCGCTGAAAATGCAGACCTCCCACCACCAAACGGCTCTGAGGGTGGTCATGGCTGTTGCACACCACGGTTGACTCGCGGTTCCCTTGACCTGGAGCTGATGCCAACATGACACAGAAAACAATTCATCACCAGTTGATTGATCCAATATGTATAGATCTCGCTCCGTGTACCCATAGGCTCATTTCCACCTCTCGATCATATACCTGCTTTGTAATCCTGGCCACCCACCTTCTCATCTACTTGTACACACTCTTGCATCGCGCAAACCCCAAAGATGTCCCTAATGCCACCTGACGTGCCGTCTGGTAAACTCTCTGTTTCTCCTGGTTTCTTGAGTACTCTGGCCGCAGCCGTTACGGCATTATAGACGGGTGTTAACGCTAGCAACGGGTATATCATGATTTTAGCCCCTAATTCCTTCGCTTCGTTGACTGTTAAAAGCGGGCTCACTCCACCTGGGACCATATTCAGCAACACAGGCGTTGGGAACATGTCTTTGCAAAATTGACGTGCTTCCTCACGCGTCCTGAAACCTTCAAGGAAAGCGACGTCGGCACCAGCGTCAACGGCAGCACGCGAACGCCGCAAAGCTTCATCGTAGCCGAAACTCTGCAGCGCATCCGTTCGGGCGATGATAACGATGTCCCTACCCATCTGGATACGAGTCAGGGAGGCAGCTCGGATCCGAGTTACCCATTCGTCAACACTAACGAGAGCTTTGTTTTCCAAATGCCCGCAGCGCTTGGCGAGTACCTGGTCCTCTATGTGGAAGGCCGCCACGTTGGAATTGATATACACCGATACAGTGCGTACCACGTTGATGGGGGAGCCGAAGCCCGTGTCTGCGTCGGCGATTATAGGGACTTAATACGAGTGGCCCAGGGGAGAACGTGAAGAGGCGATAGCTACCAACATGGCGGCGTTTTAGTGCATCTCGGTCTGCGTCACAAGGGCTAAGTCAGGGTAGCCGATTGCTGAAGCGGCAGTTCCCGCACCAGTCTTAACAGCGAAGAAGACGATTGTCAGAATGTGGCCAAAAGAGCGAATGCAACAGGGTCAAGTCCGTATGCAGGGATGAGGACTCACCATGGACAGACAGTTAAACTCTTCTCTCAATGCAATACGTGCGGTGAGACCCTTCCCCACCACTATGACTGGGCCAGGCGAGTAGCGAGCCCGCAGTATCAAATCATTTGGTGGCGATACCGGAGCTCTGAGACCATAGACTCACATTTCGCTGATAACTGGTCGCCTTCGAATCACTATATAAAGCGGAGAATAGGAAGAGTGCCTTGCTCTTATAATCAAGTTCATAACTTTTCATTCTCCTGTTGCTCAATTCCATATTAATGGCTATTACTACGATCTCCATGGAAGGCGGTGCTCGTCCTTCCACCATCTTGGTGACGAATCATATTGACGATATACATAAAAGCAATGAGAATCTGGAACATATGGAAATTCTCGAGGGTGATGTCGATGCTTCCATCAGCAACCGCGTGCGACACAAGTTCGATCGAAATATCATCCCTTGGTTGTGGGGCCTGTGGATGTTCTCGTTCCTAGATCGCAGTAACATTGGGAACGCGAACATTGCCGGCCTCTCGGACGACTTGAACCTTCACGGTACACAATACAATATGGCACTTATGTTATTCTTCATCCCTTATATACTGGTTGACCTGCCGTCAAACTGGATTCTCAAATACTTCCAAGCGGGATGGTATCTGGCAGGACTAGTCACATGTTGGGGAATCATTATGGTTATGGCGGCGCGAAGAGAATTGAAATTGACTAACTACAAGTGAAAGAGAGGCTGGCCGCTATATATACGTAAAAGTATGAAAGCAAATGTAGCGGTCGGAATTAAGTGTCTCCGACCCCTCACGCTAGAATCACATCATTAGGTAAGTACTCAGCTGTACGCAGTCCTGTTCCGATCAAGGTTGACGGTTTGCAGCACCTTCATGGGTTTCGTGCAAAATCTCGGCGGTCTGATTGCATGCCGTCTCTTGATGGGCTTCTTTGAAGGTGGTTTGATCTCAGGTATCCTCATCTATCTTCCAATGTTTTATCGAAAGAAGGAACTGGCGTGGAGGATCGGGAGCTTTTATTGTGCAAGCCCTTTTTCTTCAGCCTTTGCTGGCTTGCTTGCCACAGCGTTAACCCAAATCAAGGCTGGAGGTTACGACCGTGAGTTCTCCTGACTTGCCAGCCCTACAGTACTGATCCTTTTCAACAGGTTGGCCTTGGATATCTTTCACCCAAGGTGTAAGTACAATTCCAGAGAGCTTCCGCCGTTACGATTCTGGACTGATCGATCGCTGCAGGCTGCAACAGCCTTGTTCGGAATACTCGCGCTTTTCTTTCTTCCTCACAGCATCGCTCAGGCCTGGTTTCTCACGGAAGAAGAGCGAATTGTTGCTCATGCACGACTCCAGACCGATTCACACGGAGTCAATATGACGAGTATCGAGGATGAGAAGTTCTCCTGGTACTGGGTGCGCCTTGCTTTGAAGTCTATGATCACATGGTTCATCGTCTTACCATACCTTCTTCTCGCTATATGCGTCTACGTAAGTGCTCGGGCAATAGCGCCTATGCATGTGGCGCTAATCATCTTCACAGTCCTTCGCTCTGTTTCTTCCTCCGATCATTAAAAACTTAGGATATACCTCCACACATGCACAGCTCCTCACTGCGCCTCCCAATCTGTGCGGTTTTGCCTCTGTTCTTATCGTGTCTCGGCTATCAGACAAAACTGGCGTGAGATCACCATTTATCATGGGAGGAAGTGTTCTCGTGATAATTGGCTATGCTATACAACTTGGTTCTCAGAAGTCCTCAGGAGCAAAATATGCCGGTACCTTTTTTGTTGCAGTCGGAGCGTATCCAAGCATGCCTCTCGTAAGCACCGTGCCTGCACTATGTGGACCATCACTGACGAAGTGTCCACAGTATTTGAGCTGGCTGACGAATAACTCGGCTCCGCACTATACCCGAGCGACGTCGACTGTTCTATCACAGAGCATCGGTAACTTTGCTGCGTTCGTTTCTACGTATTCCTATATTGCCAAAGACGCGTAAGTTCATTCCGGTGACTTGTTATGGTTCTATCATGCTGACATACGGACTATGACAGCCCACATTACACTCTCAGCCACAGTATCAATATTGGCGCTTCCAGCTCAGCATGTGTTTTCACCGGAGTGGCCATGTTCTATTGTCATTAGGAGAATCAGAAAAGGGCAAGTGGTCTGCGGAATTATCGGTTGGAGAATATGAACCCTTTGGCCTTGGGGAATTTGCATCCAGACTTTAGGTATATACTCTAATCCTTAAACAGACGGTTAATGACCCATATTCCATTTTCCTTCTGTTGATATATCAGCCAAAGCGAAAATTGTCTTAAGTATAATGCCTCCCTCGTAAGTCTCTTAAGGACACACGGGGGGAAGAGAGCAGCTGTGGGTGAAAAGTCAAATTCTTCTTTTTGCATACCACAAGCAGATCATTTCTGCGTCTCAGTTAGTACACAAGGTCAATCTCAGTCCTCCCATCTGGTGAGAATGTTGACGTTCTCGGTATCGGTAGCGAATCAAAAGGGGGTTCGTATAATGAGGTCATCAGGTATATAGCATGAGCCTTCTCAAGAGAGCTCGTGCAGGGCTAGAAAGAGAAACCCACAACTACATACCTGCTGAGAGCAGGCCGCCGACATAATATAAATCGGTCAAGGCGCCCAGGACATAGGAACGAAGATTCAACGGCAGCGTTTCCGCGATGAAAGGTGGACATGCGACGTACGTGCCTCCCAATCCAAATCCCAGAATGAATCTCGCGACCAAGAACATGGCAATCTCTTGAGATGCGCCCTGGAGAATGTTCCCAATAATCGCCACGAACGAAGCATAGAAAGTCGAGGGCTTTCGTCCAATGATATCGCCGAGTTTGGTGAGTACAAGGCTACCGAAAATGGCGCCGAACCAAACGATGCCGGAGTTCAGGCCGATCGTGGCCGTGGTTAGAGCATTCATCATTGACGCATCATAGCCAAGGACCTGTTGTTTCTCAGAAGTGTCAAGCACCACAGATAGAGCCTCTCAGTCTCATGTCAACATCCCCATTTCTGGCGGACGCAAAAAGCCCCACCCACTACGGGATCACGTACCTCTTTAAGCGGACTTCTTTATCTTGGCCCCAGTGGATATTCTTGCGGGACTGGTCTGGCACATTGCCAGGGACTGATGGACGGTTGGAATTTTCCCCACTTTTGTCGACGACGATCATCCATCATCTCGCTTTTCTCTCACCACTTCGAGAGCGAACCCTGACTCTTGGAGTATGAGAAGCCACGCCTCAAACCCTTCAAGTACTTCCAACTTGGTCACATCGGCACTGGATACAGCGCAGCCCAGAAAATCAACTATTATAGTTGGCGGCTAGACGCTTGGCAGCCCGGCGATAAAGGTACTGTCAGGCGCTGTGGAACCTTCTAGGTAATAGAATAGCCAGGGGTCTAATGAGATGTATTGTCGAGTCTGTCCTTAATGACTATGAGGCGGTGTTCTATCTATTATATAGCAAATAAGGAGCGTAATTCTTCCTCTGGTTGAGGCCGTCCTCGTTACCGCATTAACTCCCGGACAGGAACATAGATAGGCCTAGAGAATAGGGCCCTAGAGGTTGCCTTAATAATGAGTGCCTTATCGGATAGAATAGGAAGAGGAATGGGTGCTAAATGGGGTAGTAAAAAGAGTGTCTTGAGGCCTAGGAATAGGCCTCTGTTTGTAAAGACCGTTTTAGCGGAGTACTCCGCATGAGAGGTCTAATAGGTACTGACATACAAAATAAAGGACTGGACGGCGCCCGCGGATCAAGCTCTGGTGGTCATGACCATGGAACCGCAATACCCCTGCGCAGAGGAGCGAATATTGTCACACACTAAAGAGGAAGGCCGGAAAGGGTCAGAGTAGTACATAGATACAGAACACTCAAAGCTTAGAGCTGGGAGACAAGTGGGATGATGCTAGAAACTATCTATGAAGGTATGGAAGTTACATATAGCCACTAGGACACTGACTAGTGCAACAACTGCATGTTAGTCTGCCTTCAGTGAGCATCGTGTGACATGGGATTCCAGCTAGAACAGATATCTAGGGTTATTAGTAGGGTCATGCGTATGGAGTACTGATGGTCGCACTGCTGCATAGCTGCCACTTATTGGGCGGGCTGGGACAAACTATGGCATCCATCTAGTAATTCATCCATACCTGCGCTGTGGCGGACACTAACATTCGGACGACTTCACATGTCTGATTATCGATCCCCAATTTACTAATGTAAGAGAATGAGGGCGATGATTATCCGAAGGGAAGGAATCCTCATATCATGTTTGGGGTCGATGTGTCGCTGGGAGCGAGGGTGGCTATACGTGTTGAGCCGCACACCAACCTCGACAAACTCACAGCCACAAGGAGGGAGTTGAGGACTGTACGAACTGATACCACCCTCCTCCGAATAAACCTCGCGGACAAAGCAGAAGGATCGAAGAACAGCAAGGTGCGCCATGAGCAGCAGACCATCAATTCTGAACTCCACCATATGGGGTGAGGCTAACCTTTTCACTCCCAGCAAGGTCATGGCTCGCTCCCAAAGATACGTAGACCTAGTACATGCAGAAGAACATGTATCTAGACTCGATGAAACAAATGGCAGGGTTTCGCATGTTCTAGAGTAAGCGAAGACGGATCGACCGTCATTAACATGGACATCGGGCAGGCGACTGCCTAAGGCACCATTCAGACTAGCAGAAGATCGTCATTTTCGTGCGTTATCACCCAGAGTAACAGCACCAATAGTCACGTAAAAAGACATCAGAGACCTCGAAGTTGGTCAGTTGGTACGACTGGAGTGATAGTGATATTTCTGGTGGCGGTAGAGAATTATTCGACAAGGATCTTCAAGCACGTACAGTACTGCTTTATTTTCCAGATCTGTCAAACAACAGCAGAGACGGTAAATTTTTCCTGCTCTTTCATTTCTGTGTTTGCTCCTTTATTCGATAGGGGTTTGTTCCACCAAGAGTCTGAGAGAGGCTCTAACTAAGATCATTAGAAACAGTTGCTGCGACTGTCAAAGAGATCTGTCTCCACCAAATGGGCTAAGTCGGCGCTGTAACATCTCACTACTCCGAACAATCGATAATGACCTACCAACCGTCGATTCCACCGTCCAAAACTATAATTGCCCCGACATGAAGGGATAGAACCCAGTATCTTGGAAGAATTTCCGTTAATGCAGCTGGTGGAGAGTCTACAGCACTCTCTCACTAACCTTCAAGTGAAACCAAACTTGCTCTACTGCAGCTTGAAGACGGCTCTCAAGGGTACAGTTGATTAATCAATTCCAATCAATTCCGTGTTCTGCAAAGAGAAATGCCTCGCATAAGATAACAAGGAGTTTTGCGAAGAGTATCTATGAAGCGTGAAAAGTGAAACCCTGAGAGTTGCTTACACTTTCTATAAGATCAAATACAATTTCCCCAATGCCGGGATTGACTTTGAGTGTGTTCTCACGCTCTTCACTCCAGAGACGTAATGCCGATAACTTATGAAGGCATTTCGATTAATCATTCTCGACCCTTTGGTTCCCATTTTCATTACCTACACTCTTCTCTCCTCACTGTCCCCTGCTGCGCTCTTGTCGATCTTATCTGCAACATCAGTTGGCCCCACCTCATTCTGGGCCAAACCTATCGCAACCTCCACCTCCTGAGTTTTGAACTTGTTCATGGGCACCTTTAGATGGAAAAGAATATCCAACTCCTTGTAAGTACGTCCCTTGGTTTCCGGAAGTCGGAAATATGCCCACACGAGGCCCACGAATGCGAAACCCCCATACAACCAAGCAGTCTTACCGCGCCAGTTCGCTTCATCGGGGTTGATCTCGTGTGGTAAGCCGATAGCTGCTACAACATATAGGATATCGCAGAGTACCTGACCCAGACCCACAGTCTTGGTCCTCAGGCGTGTGGTCGAAGTCTCCGACATGATGACCCAGGATGAAGGCCCTGTCGTACCCATGTAGACCCCATATGCTATGACGATCATAACGCTTTGCGCCCAACCTATACCGGGTCTTGAGTTGTAGTTTGGTGCCAAGTCCAGGAATCCGACCAGCATGAACAGCAATTGTAAGCCCGAAACTACCTCAGATGAAAGTAGGTCTTCGCCCAATCACAGTCATAGCAGGGTAGTAAATCAAGTTCGTCAAATAACCCAATGAAAACATACCCACACCCATAAGAAAAGCATGATCGGTTCTCAGACCGGATAAGGTGAGAAAGTATGTGACCATTCCGAAGAAAACGCTGGTCCCCTGCTGAATCGCATAAGGCAAGGCAGCAATCTCTGTCCGACGAAGATTCATGCCTTTGAAGCATTCCAGGTAACTCGAGGACTTGTCATTTTCCTTTTCAAGTCTGGTGGTCTTCTCCAGCATGGCGAGGATCTCATCAATTTCCTGGGGGTTGTTCGAGAATGCAAGTTACTCCAGAGACTTTTTGGCCTCTACAGTTCTCCCTTTGTGTACCAGGTACCACGGAGACTGCACATTTCCATAAGAGGGAAAGTAATACAATGACCCAGAACCATTGAAGGGCAAAAGGCGCTCGATAAGCCCACGCAGTTTCTATTGACTGAGTTCCCGCAGTCATTCCTTGACCGAGGAGATTTCCGCCAATTAGTGCCATGTTCGAGGAACCGATTGAAATGTTCCTCAGATGGTAAGGAACTACTTTGGCGGCGTAGCTAGGCACGAGGACAAAGTAGAATCCGTAGCAGATGCCATTCAGATACTGTCCGGCAAAGATCATGCCGATACTGTTCACAAACATCTCCAGAAACACGATAACCGTGTTTTCGAGCAGAAAGAAGTATATAGGTCTCTTGCGACTAAACATATCCCCGACAGGTCCTCCAAAAAATGCACCGATAACTTGAGCACTAATCACGCCCACTACAAGAGCGAGCTGCCAAGGTATGGAACTGATAAAAGATCCCGGGTCGTTAACAGGGTCGAATTCGTAGCCGTATCTTTCTGGAATGCAGGTATGGCAATCAAGTTTCCACACACTATAAGGTCGAATCCAGCTAACATATTGACCAAAGAGATGAAAAAAGCCCAGAACAAGCCTCTCCGATACTTTTGAAATGCTTGCCAAACAGACAGCTTGTGCTCATTTCGTGTTGCTTCGTCAGATGCTTGAGAAATCTATTGGAGCTCTTGGCCGCCTTCGTAAAAGATTATCTTAGTGGGAATGGTAGCCATATTGCTGTTTGATGATAACTGGTTTGTTTATTGGTAGGCAATAACTATATCATAACAAAAGTAGCGTTAATGGTCTGGCAAAACCCTTAACTCTGGCTTCATATTCAAATACCTTTCTCGAAACCAGATCGGTCGGCCCGACCGATACACTCCGGTGCACCCTCGAGGTCCTGAACGCGAAAAATGTGGGTACTGAACACCGATGATAAGGACACGAGTCGAGGTGGCGGAAGTCAGTGCTGCCTTATCAAAGTCAGATAGGGCGGGCACCAATAAAAGTTGACAGAGCCTAGTAAGTTATGCCGCATTTAATCACGGGTCTTATCATTATCCTAGATCGACCGCATTCCTCGGGACTCTAAGGGGAGCTTGGAGTAGAATTATGGGCATGTTAAAGTATGGCGGTCAGAAAAGCGTGGCATCGGAACGCGCTGAGTAGGAGCAGATAGCAGTCCGCGACGATACGGATTTCCCATCACAAGACATAAGAGAAAGCATAAAATGATTGGTAACTTCGACTTGGTACTTCCTGGAACCTGTTCCTCTATCTACAATTTGGGCCATATGGGCCACCACTATATGCTGTCTACCAGCAAGCTGGGGCTTGCGTCACGAAATCTATTTGCGTATGTCATCAGAGTTCTAAGTCACGAACCAAAGCCAGGAGTGGTCTATCTCGAGAGAGGCTCTCCCCAATCGGCACGAGATGTATGCTAGCAAGCAGGAAGTGCCTGCGCTACTTCAGATCAAATATGACATCTTCCGTACTTCTCCGCTGCCATGATGAAAAAGGAAACTCGGTATCCATTGACTGTTGCGACCAAACAATCTGTTCAGAGAGTTAGCCCCGCACTCCGGCTATGTCATGGCGGCGAGAGGCAATGCACTGACTGGTTCTTCGGTAATGCTCGCAAACAAAATCTGAAGATCCCTATCCAATTCCAGACTGGGAGAAGCATTGTCTGTATGATGACCAGAGGCGTCGCCTGATGGAGTGTATCCCGCGACAGGATTGACAGTCATGTTGCTCGGGCTCACATCTAATAACACAATCAGTGAGCTACTCCATATACTTGGAAAGAACATGCCCTGCGTTGCAAAGAGGGCCATCTTGTCGAGCAGCTACTGAACCTTGTCCCTCATCAATCGCATTTCGTCCGTTGCTCCCGGACTTTCTGCCATGATGCATAACATAGGCAACAGTCTTTCGAGTACGCTGCTCATCTCAGGCGAATAGGCGATTTGGGGAAAAAAAGAGTCATTAATGAGAATGAATGTGATAAGATCATTAGTCAAAAAAATCGCGTGAAGACTCTATGGGTTTTGAGCGTAAAACGAGAAAAACGAGGTGACGAAACTCATCGCTTAAAAATCCTTGGAGCGCATTAATGAGCTTTGTCAGGTTGACGAGTAGACTTGCTAAAGGCAGTCCTTATGCAGAGCTTCTCCATCAAAACGGCGTACGATGTCCGTATGTGCCGAGCCTTTTGCACTTGCCGAAAAATACTCTGAGCGGTAGCTTGGGTATCGCCATTCATAGCTTTGCCGCATTCCTCTTGTTTCTGCGGCATCATGCACTTCATCGTTCTCCGTCTTGTCACTGACCAGATTAGACTTCCTTGGACTTTTCTAGTCTGCGGCTCGACCTGAAACTCTACCCTATGCAGAAGAGGCTGCGTCATGATAATGAGTTAGAAGAGCTCAAGCCAGAGCACTCGTGGATCCGACTTTCCGGGTTCTATGCTGGCTGGCATTCAAGTGTCAACCCCTCATTAGCACGATTTGCCGTTGTATGTGGGCCATCCACATCTCGTTCTTTGTTCCCACAACCAAGGCTGTTAGCTCAAGCATGGCATTGTGGTTACTAAGTCCTGCTTCAGACTTAGCAGACATTACCCAGAGCGCTGGCTGACAACGGTTCATGCTTCCAGCATGGTTGAGCCTGGAGTAGTAACGGGTAGCGTCCTCACGCTGTGGATGAATTATGCCATTCGTGAGACGTCGCGCTGCTCCATCTGAGTCGTCTATGAAATTCTTCAGTCTGGTATGGACGACAACACTGCCAATATACTACGTGGCTCATATCCTATCATATCCGAGTCAATGATCGCAACCAGAACTGGGTGGGAACATGGCATCTTTGAATGTGATCTTGTTGTACATAGGTCATATCCAGAGGGGTGTGGTAGCTCGGATGCCTACGATCCGTTAAACTGGCACGGCTCTCAGGACACCACGGACACTTAGTGAGGCGACGGAAATATTTTCCAATTTCTGTACCGAAATCTTAGCATGGCCAAGTACGGCGTCAAAGTTGACCATCAAGGCATGACGAGGTCCCAATACTACGACGATGCTTGGAGGTCTCAGCCAAGCCTTCACATTCCGGCACCTGATCGATCTTCCGCCAGGAACGCTGATCACATTCTTGGCCGTCAGTGCTTTGGCGCGAAGAAAAAGTGGTCAATGGGCAAAGATGTGGACGAGATCTGAGCTGGTGGCAGCCGTGCCATTCAGTCAGATCTCACTAGTTCTGACTATGAAAAGAAATTGCCGATCCGATCTCGTCCAGATCAACGTTATGATCTGCAGATCGAACCGGCTGGCGGAGCTGCCGCTTGAGGATATAGCTAGCGATGAAAGAGAGAGCTTGGAAATTTCTTAATCAAAGGTGTACCAAGGATTCTATTCCACATTCGTATGTTCGCTTCATCTTGTTTTCGCTTCCCCGTGGACCCTTTTAGGAAGTCTCTGATGGGAGCTTACGGTTTTCTGTCATGCCCAGCTTTGCAAGGCGAGATGATCGCATTCTATGCCTTGGCATCGCCTTTTTGGCCAGCACTGCGCCTCTGCCAACACTTTGGCATCCAGAGAAGACGGGCCATCGTTGCGCACGTTCAAGATGATTTGCAATTCTTTCAACAACGCCAGTCCATGTTTAGTAGGCTGATGGACGCGAAGACGGAAAGTACAAGAAATTGAGGAATGGCGATCGGCGACTGCTATCTATATTGCTGTCAAGAATTGAAGCTTTCAGGACTATAAAACCCCTACCTGGGGCATCGACCATGAACATCGATATCAACCTTAAGAAGCACCTTACATTACAGGATCAAACATCATGAAGACTGCCAGCCTCATCCTCGCCTCTGCCCTGGCCAACGCCGTCACTGCCACTCCTCTCAAGTGGAAGGACTGGAAGCCTCTCCTAAGCCCATTCTACTTCACTTCGACATACCACGTCGTTGCAACATCTGACCAAGTCATCAACGGCACCACCCCTACTCCGGGCGAGCCAGGCGCGATTGGTCATTACAATTATGGCATCAACAGCGACCTGGATGTCATTTGCTTCGTGAGTGCCTTGTTTCTCTGAGTCTCAACATTTGCTAACTTATCCAAGAACATTACCTTGATGGGTGTCACTGGAGGATATCAATCGCCAGCCTTGACTGCAACGCACATCCACGAAGCTGTCGCTGGTGCATCAGGACCACCTCGTATCGCATTTCCCAACCCATTGCCCATCAGTGATGATCCATCCGTTGTCCGCCGTTCTGTTGGTTGCTTGACCGGGCCATTCACCACTGGTGTCCTTGCCAACGGCACCGATACAGGTGTTGGCTTCACTGTCAAGGAGATTGAAGAGAATCCAGCTGGCTTTTTCACTGATTCTCACACTGCGAGATACATTCCCGGTGTGGTCAGAGGACAACTATCATGATATGCGCCGGTCGTTCGCAGTATGGTGGAGATCAAGTCGCAATATGCGCTGTCTTGTACATACTATCTAATCACGATCTATCTCACACGCCAATTCCACTTCTTGTGAGGCTCACGTAGCACATTGGGCAAACGCGCAAACCCAGGCAAATACTAACGAGGGGACGGGCCCATTACCCCACGAGACCAAAACGCCATTTGCAGCGGTAAGTGAGTTCTATAGCCTGGGTCGAGTATCGATTTTCGGGCCCTCTCGTAGTAAGGACGTCAATGAAAGGAAATGAGAAGTCGACCTCCCACATAACTACATCTGCGGGATCTCCAGCGACATGAAGATACATTCCTGAATTGTATTGTGGTTAGCTTTGCCATTGCAGAAGCTGTTCTGTACTAGCTTAACATCTCTTAGACGGAATTAATGTTACCAGGATTCTATCAGTTGATCGTTGCGAGGAATGGGCTAGATTCTTTTCCCGCCGGAACTATCTCGACAACGAGCAGATCGTTAACGAAAAAGGCCCGTGATTTCTGCCAGCAGCTTGGCGTTTCTGTACTAACTTGGAGCGGTCCACCATGTTTATCCGACCTGGCTCAGATCATGGCAATCAGTTTCTCGATGTGTGATAGAAGGTCACTCACGTCAGGACAATGGCCTACAGCCTCGTAGGGGCATGGAATTTACTCCAAGGGTATGAATGTCTTGAAGAACACATACCATGGATATGTGCATGTCATCAATTTGTTCAATTTTGAAAGAGCTCGCTAATGGATCTGCCAATCTCAGCTTGCAACGGTGAAGTTTCCCGCCTCTCATTTCTGATGGTATATCCGCTTTATTAGCTTGGCGCATTTTACAATATAGACCTTCTAGGTATCCTTTTGGTGAGGATCGATCGTAGCTACCTCATC